CCTCCCAAAGTGCTGAGATTACACATGGGAGCCACCATACCCAGTCAGGGATCGTTCTTTTCTTTGCCTGAATCATTTCAGATGGTTTTATTGTGGTTTGATTGATATACAAGAAGCTGTACATACTTAATGTATACAACTTGATGAGTTTGGAATTGAGTAAATACCTGAGAGGTATCACCGCAATCAAGGCCATAAACTTTGTCATCAAAACAGTTTTGATACTGTCAAAAAAAAACAGGCATATAGACCAATAGAACAAAAGAAAGAGCCCAGAAATAAACCCACACATATATAGTTATCTTCAACAAGGGTCCCAAGAATATACAATGGGGAAAAAAATAGTCTCCTCAATAAATGATTTTGGGAAGACTGGATTTCCAGACTGGATTTCATTAAAACAATGAAATTGAATCCTTATCTCACATCATACACAAAAATCAACTCAAAATAGATTAAAGACTTAAATATAAAACCTAAAACAATAAAACTCCTGGAAGAACACTTAAATTAGCCAGACATGGTGGCACACACCTGTAGTCCCAGCTGCTCAGGAGGCTTAGGTGGGAGGATCACTTGAACTTGGGAGGTTGAGGCTGCAGTGAACTGTGATCACACTACTGTATTCCAACCTGAGCAACAGACAAGACCATGTCAAAAAAAAAAAAAGAAGAAGAAGATGGAAACTTAAGAGAAAAAGCTTATGAACATTGGTCTTAGCAGTGATTTCTTGGATATGACACCAAAAGCACAGGCAACAAAAGCAAAGATTGACAAGTGGGATTACATCAAACTAGAAGTCTTATGCACAGCAAAGGAAACAGTCAACAAAATGAAAAGGCAACTTAGAAAATGGGAGAAAGTATTTGCAATCCATATATCTTAAGAGGTTAATATCTAAAACCTATAAAATAACTCTTTTTTTTTTTTTTTTTTGAGACGGAGTTTCACTCTTGTTACCCAGGCTGGAGTGCAATGGCGCGATCTCAGCTCACCACAACCTCCGCCTCCCGGGCTCAGGCAATTCTCCTGCCTCAACCTCTTGAGTAGCTGGGATTACAGGCACGCGCCACCATGCCCAGCTAATGTTTTGTATTTTTAGTAGAGACGGGGTTTCACCATGTTGACCAGGATGGTCTCGATCTCTTGACCTCGTGATCCACCCGCCTCGGCCTCCCAAAGTGCTGGGATTACAGGATTGAGCCACTGCGCCCAGCTAAAATAACTCTTAATAGCAAAAAAAAAAAAAACCAATTATCCTGATTTTAAAATGGGCAAAGGACCTGAATAGGCATTTCACCAACGAAGACATACAAATGGACAACAGGTGTCATCACTAATTAATAAGGAAATGCAAATCAAAACTGCAGTATCATCTCACACCTTGTTAGAAGGGTTATTACAGAAAAAAAAAAACCTCAAAAAACAAAAGATAACTGATGCTAAGGATGTGAAGAAAAGGAAATATTTGTACACCGTTGGTGGGAATGTAAATTAGTATAGCCATTATGGAAAACAGTGTGGAGGTTTCTTGAAAGATGAAAAATAGAATTATTTGTTTTAGCAATCCCACTTCTGGGAGTATATCCAAAGGAAATAAAATTACTATTTCAAAGAGATATCGGAATTCTCATCACATGTTCATTACCGCACTGTTCACAATAGCCAAAATATTGAAACAACCTAAATGTCGGTCAGATGAATGGATAAAGAAAATGTGTGTATGTGCACATGCACACACAATAGAATCAGTGGAGTACTATTCAGCCTTTAAAAAAAGAAGGAAATGTCATCACTAGCAGCAACATGGGTGGATCTGGAGGACATTGTGATAAGTGAAATAAACCAGACTCAGGACAAATACTCCATGATCCTACTTTTATGAGGAATTTTAAATAGTGAAGCTTGTAGAACAAGAGGAGAATAGTGGTTATCTGTGGCTAGGGAGAGGAGCAAATGGGGAAGTGTCAGTCAAAATATACAATGTTTTAGTTATGCAAGCATAGGTCTGGAGATCTCCTGTGTAACAGAGCCTATACTGTAGTTAGCAATCCTGTATTGTATACTTAGAATGTTACAGGAATTGGTCTTATGTTAAAGGAATGGGTCTTATGTTAAGTGCTCTTGCCACAAAATAAAAAAATATATTTCAAAGACTTTGAGGGGTTTGGGTGCAGTGGCTTGTGCCTGTAATTCCAGCACTTTGGGAAGCCAAGGCAGGAAGATCACTTGAGCCCAGGAGTTGAGTCCATCTTGGGCAGCAAAATGAAAACTCATCTCTGCTAAAAATTTAAAAATTAGCAGAGGGGCATGGTGGCGTGTGCCTGTGGTCCCAGCTACTTGGGAGGCTGAGACGGGAGGATCATTTGAGCCCAGGAATTCAAGGCTATAGTGAGCCATGATCACACCACTGCACTCTGACCTGGGCAACAGACTCTATCTCAAAAAAAAATTTTTTTAATGAATAAAGAGGGCAAAAGGAAAGTCTTTTGGAGATTTTAAGATTCATTTACATAGAGTTTTCAGCCTTGAAAAAAGATATATAAGCCCCAAATATAAAGAAGATACATTTAACCAGGAAGATTATTAACAGCTATGGATCTGCATGTGCCATATCATGTTCTTCAGTGTTATTTCATGTTTTTATCCTCCGATTCATCAAGGACAAGATTTTAGATTGCCTTTCCTCTCCTAACCAACAGGGCTTTAATCAGGGCATTAAGGAGTTCTAAATAGGCCTTGCTTTTGAATCTGCATATCAGGAGGGGGCTGGGAGCATGAGTGGGAGGATGTCATGTCTCGGTGATTAATGATCTCTAGGAAGCTGAAAAGGGGAGTGTAATATACACAGTATTTCTACCCCCTGGAGTAGGAATGCAAACACCATTGTGCAGATCTGTGCATAGTCACTGACTTCCTGGTAGCTGGAGAATTTCATACACTATTCTACCACAAATAAAACTGTCAGAGAAGTGACAGAGCTCAAAAAGCTGGCCTTCCTTACTTAAAAAGAATAGCTCAAACACAGTGAGCCAGAAAATTAATTTTGTAGTTGTTTGGAAACTGAGTTGCTAAATAAGAAATAAGAAAATGGGAACTTTTCATGAAAAGCCTACAACCTTCAAATATTTGTTGAATCAAACTCTACATTTGGTTTCTTAAATTTACTGAATTCCTTGAAACTGCTTACTTTAAATGAATATAAAGGGGAAACATTCCTTTGTAATGAAATGACCCATCTTAAACTTTTCAATCTGGTCCCTGGTAGAATCAGAGAATCATACAGTCAGTGGACTTAAGAGTCTATTGCCTGATGTTTAGGAAAAAAAATCTTAACATTTCAGAAGGCTTGTATGCAGTTTTTCAAAATAATTCTAAGGTAGAGTTACTTTTCCCTCTTTTATTCTCAGTGAACCTATGGTATTATTTAGTAACAATTTCCAAACGCTTAAGATAGAAGCGAAACATTCTGAACTAAAGATAAACTACAGATGTTTGCAAAAAAAAATTTTAGTAAGTTTTTTTGGGAAAAAATTGTATTTCAGCCACCTTTGATTATTTAAAAATAACCCAAGCTAGAGGTTTTGTGCATAACACCAGTAGCAGCAGCAGTATTTGTTTTTAGAGAGGACAGTCAAATAACTTGTATTTTACTAGGAACTATTTATTCGTAGGACTTGTTAAATTATTTTTTGCTCTTGGTTCATTTTTTTGATGCCCTATACATTATCACTTTCTGTTCTGCATTGTCTAACATTTTAACTGATTTCTTACCAGTTTTTGTTTTTCCATAATATAAAAAGAAAGAAAATATTCATCTTGGGGAGGTGGAGTGCAATTCATGATAAAGGAAAGAAAAATTTTTATATTTGTTTTTGTTGTTGTTTGTTTTGCTTTATTTTTTAGGATGTCACTATAATCTAAAGTAGAAGGAACTACTGGTCTAAATTCAGATGGTATCAGATAGATGAAGCTCTAAATTTGGTGTCCAAGTAGTTAGACTTTTAAATTGCATTTGCAGGAGTTTATTTTTAGTCAGGATGTGGTTATTTTTAGATCTGGTTCTCTGTCACTAGGAAACGTAATGCCTGTCTTTCCATTGTTGATCAGGAAGTTCTAAGGTACAGGCATATAAGATCCAGTTAACCTAGAACACCACCAGTCCTTTTAGATGAAAGAATATGAAATAATGCATGAAAGAAAATGTTTGTTGAGAATATATCTAATTTTGAAATTGTTAGTGTCGTTTAAATCTTTTGTATATTGAACAACAGAGCAAGGTTTTTTAGGGAATGCCAAAAATACAAGGTTTGGGTTCCCCCTACTGGCGTGCATCCCAGGCTCATCTATTCATTAATATACAGCTGAAAGGCCTTGGGGCCAGAGATTAGAAATAGCTATGTTAACTTCATTTAGAGAGCTGATGATAAGAAAGAGAGAAAAAACTCCATTTCCCTTTTTCTGCATGTCTTACAAAAAATGAGATGATTTTAAAACCGTATTTTCTACATCTAGAAAGAGTAAAAATTAATTCTATAATATTTGGTTTTAATGTTGTTGCTGCTGATAAGCTGCTCATTTGCAGTGCTTTTCAAATGCTTTATGTTGTAATCTAAGGAATAATAAAGCAACAGTGGATCCACAAAAGGATTTAAAACCCCAGAGAAGAAATGCAAAGCTAACATTGTTGTCATAATAAAATTAAAGCGCTGGCATTAAAGCTCACTAATTCCTATTTTAGCATTTCAGAAAGTGACATGACATCATGTGATTGTGTCTGTCTATTTAACATTTGTTTTTTCTAATTTGTACAACATATGTTTGAAACCATTTTTTATTTTCTATCTCATAGTAAGTGCCAAGTAATATTAATGGCTCATTATGAAAAAGAAAAATTTTAATTGACTCTTAAAAGTCACTTTTAAACTTCTTATTATGTTTGTATTTTAAAGGGCTATTCAATCAAATTAAAATATTGTACTTTTTTAATTGCTTTTCAGCAATGCAGTCAACCTTTTAAGCAATGTTCCGGTCTCTTGTTTGGATGTTCTCATTTGTCCATTAACCCATGAAGAAACAGCCCAAGAGGCAACGACTCTAGATGAACTGCCCAGTAATAAAACAGCTGAGAAAGAAACAGTTTTGAAAAATAATACCATGGTATACAATGGTATGAATATGGAAGCCATTCATGTTTTACTCAGTTTTATGGAGAAGAGAATAGACAAGGTAAGGCTGATAAAATGGAAGCCCTGGGAAGATGCTTCCAAAGAATGTAAATGTGCCATACATACACACATCACAGAGCATGATTTTTAAATCTAAGCTTTTTTTTTCTAGCTGATTTGTTGCGTAATTGTTTTTACTTTGGAAAGCAGTTTACTACAATATATGATAAATTGCTGAAGCCATGTTAATTTATTTGTTTAATGCTGAAAATTATGTTCATGCAACACCAAAATTATGACTAGTGCTTGAAAACAAAGGAAAATTAATTACTGTTCCATGTTGTTACTGAGTCCTAGAAATGAAAAATATCCCCCACCAAAACTTGCTGAATACTCTTCATAATACCTAAAAGACATCTTTCCAAAAAAAAAAAAAGGACCTGTTCAATTTTCCATTTGTTGTGAGCGGTTTATATTCTCTGGTCTCTCACTCACTTTGTCAGGTATCCATATTAAAAGGCAGCAAGGTAGCATAGGCCAGTCACCAAAACTTTGATTCATTCAGGCCCATTGGCTGAGCCCATGGGAACCCTAGAAAATGAAGGAACATCCAGGAAGGCCCAAAAAGGCAATAGTAAACATGAAGATAACTGATAAAATGGAAATGTTAAGAAAATAATTTTGAAAATAGTTTGTAAGCTTGAGTAACGTAAGATGTCCCCACCTCAAAAACAAATTAATATGCTCAGTTAAAAGAAGGAAAGTAATACTGTTAGAAACAAAACTAATGTATTTCAAAAACATATTTTTTTTTTATAGGGAAGCAGCTATAGAGAGGGTCTAACTCCAGTTCTTAGTTTATTAACCGAATGTTCCCGAGCCCATCGAAACATCCGAAAATTTCTCAAAGATCAGGTAACTGCTTAATGTGTATTACATCTTAAAATTAGTCTTTTTATATGCATTTTAAACATAGAATTAATTGAATTTCTCACAATGATTTTATCTCAGAAAATCGGAAACTCAGAAAAGTTAGTTTTAATCTTTGAAATCTTCTTAATCAAGAAGTCTGTATTTTTTGAGTCATTCATTCAACAAATGCTACTGAGATCTGCTGTGTGCTGTGTTTTGGGCATTGAACAACAGATGAAGTCTTTCCCCTTGTGGAGTTTATTTCATAGAAAGGGGGACGAAAAGTAAAAAAATATAAAATATAATGGCAGGTGGTTGTTAAGTGTTCTGAAGATAAAGCAGTTTAAGAGAAAGGAGACACTTTAAGGGAACAAGGAAGGACCTCTCTGAGATGACATTTGAACAGAAAAGTGTAAGAGTATCTCTGAGAATATTTGGAAAAGGAATGTACCAGGGAGAACAAGTTCACAACCCCTGAAGCAAGAGGATGCTTTGGTATACTTAAGGAAAAGCCAAAAATCCCAGTGTGCCTAGGCCACAATCTGCAAAGGGAGAGTGGTAGATGAAGAGAGGTAACAAGAGCCAGATATAGCAGGCGTTGTAGGCCTTTCGATTCTCTTCTAAGTGAGATGAGAAGATATTGGAGCATTTTAAGAGGGGAAGTGATGTTACCTTATTTATGCTTAAAGATACTCTGGCTACTATTTGTAGGATGGACTCTAGTGGAGCACAAATGGATGCAAGGAGACAAGTCCAAAAGATAACTGATGTTGAAAGTTTGGAGTAGGATGGTAGTGGTTAGAGTTCATACTTGGGGATATGTTTTAATTGTTTTAGTATGTCTTAAAAGTAGCTCACAAAACTTGCTGATAGATTGGATTGTGGCTTGAAAAAGAAAAAATCAGGGTAATTTTTAAACTTTTAGATTATATTTTAGACTCCAACTGTAAGACTTTGATAGTAACAATAACTGAAATTAGCCTCCTCTAAAATCCCAATTTCAAGCACCTTCTCTTAATTAGTATCCTCAATCTAACATTCTTTCATCCTCTGAGGATTGACAGTCTATCATTTTTTCCCACCGTTCTTCACTCACTCATACCTTCTCTCCTTACCCAGGCTAGAGTCCACCTGAAGTTCATTTTTATAATCACTCCTTTCCATACATCTCTAGCAAGCATCTTGTACTCTCCCTCAGCCATACTCACCTGGCAAAACCTAACAAACTGGCTAACTCCAGCTTTCTACCTACTCTGGGTCTCCAAGCACTTGAATGTGGTAAGAACATAACACAACCATTTTGACTAGTCTACTTTAAGACCACCAACCCCAACTGGTTCCTTAGCAAACTCCAAGATGACTATTTCACAGCTCCTTTTTCTTCACACCTCCAATGCTTACTGTCCTCTTTTCACTCTCATTTCTTGACTTTGTTTCCTATTTCACCATGAAATTAAGGAAAAAAAGCTTATCTTTCTACCATTGCATCTGCTACCCGTCTGCATCCATACTGCCATATTTCTTGTATTCCCATCTGTCACAATGGATGAATCATTGCTACTTCTGTCTGTGGTCAGCTTTTGTTGTGGATTTCTTTCCCTCTCACCTTCTCATGAGCTTTACACCTGCATTTGTTCCCCCTCTCTTCTTATAGTAATCATTTTTTTAAAATGTATTAGATCATTTAAGTCAGCACCCAAACACATCTTCCATCTTAAAAACAAAAATACCTTCCCTTATCCCACTTCTCAAGCTGCCTTCCCATTTCTGTGCTCATCTTCATGCCGTGTTCTCAGAAGAGTTTTCTGTACTCTCTCTCTCTATTCTTTTTACTCATTTTTGACTCTCTCTTAAACCCTCTGTATTTAGGCTATATGCTTTCTGCCCCACTGCAAAGGTGTTTATCAGAGTCACCAACTCAACATTACTGAAGCTAATAGTTCTCAAATCTCTTTTTTTAAATTCTCCAATAGAATTTGATATAAGTATTCCCTCCTCCTTGAAATACTTTCTACACTTGGTTTCTAGGACACAGAAGAGAACCTCTTTGTTGATCTTCCTTGTTTTCCAGACCCTAAATGTTTGAGTACCCTGGGTAATACTGTCTTCTTTTCATATCTGCTCCCTTGGTGATCTCATTCAAGAGTCATGATTTTGAAAATCATCTATATATGCTGATGACTCCCAAATTTATATCTCTAGCCCTGACCTGTCCCCTAAGCTCTAGACTTAAAACAGTGAACTACCTACTCATCTCTCCACCTTGGATGTGTAGTAGGTATCTCAGGTTTAACATACCTCAAACTAATATCTTAATTTTCATCCCTCCAACCTATTTCCTCCCCTTCTTTCCACATTTCAATACATGGTACCACCATTCACCCAATTGTTCATGTATCATTACATAGAATCTCCCGTAATAAATGAACCAGGTTCATTTTTTCCCCTCTATTTATGGTCAAGATTTAGTAAGCACCTTACTCTGTCTAGAACACACTAACAGGTAGTGGGGATAAGGAGAGATTAGAAAATAGAGACCATCTTTGAGGAATTTGCAGTCTGTTGAAAGAAGAGAGGTACCCTAAAAGCATGAATAATTTAAGCAAGATTGATTGATTAATGAATTAAGGTCATTTTCACATTTGATTATTTTAAGACATTCTCCTTTGACTAGGAGGAGTTGGTGAAGAACAATAAATGAAAATACTTTTGTTTCTGTATTTTTGCTTTTTTTCCATAGGGGATCCAGGTACAACTAAACTGTTTGGATTTTGCTATCTCTAAACAGAATAGCCCCTCAAAAAACTTATTCATTAAATAGCTTATTTAGATGAAGGCCTTGGGCCACATACTGTGTTGTTATAAAAGATTATGTGACTCAATGTCTGTCTGCAAGAAACATTACTGTATAGGTAAGGAGATGAAACATGACAGGTAAAAAGATAACTAAAGATACAAGGCATACTGCAGAAATCAACTTTCCTTCTGAAGAGGATGCACTGTCGACTGTTGTGATGAAGAAAGGCAGAACTTAAAGTGCAGATGGTTAACTCTGATGATAATATAAGTGGAACCATGGCTCATTGTTATACCCTGTAGTGAACACCTGTTTAAATCCAACTCATGCATACCCAAAGGAAATTGGTCTTGAATATTCTGTATTTGGGAGGTAGAAAAGAAAACAAGTAGTAGAAATTACTGATCCAGGTTGTATTATTCTGGAGAGGCTTATAGAAGCAATGAGTATTTGGGGGATTTGAAAGAGAAACTGGACAAGATTTCTCAAAGAAAAAAATTGTTGGAGGTAGTATGCTGGGGGGAAATACATATGCAGTTTGTCTGGGAGTGGTATATAACAATAACAACAAAATTTTGTTAAAAATTTGTTTTAAGGAACCAAAAACGTAGCTAACAAAATTTTTACATGATAGCCTTTGTTCATAATTCTGCACTCTAGGTGCTATAGACATATACTACATGAAATCATTTGTTACATGTTTCATTCTTTTAGAATGGGAGATGTACTAAGTATGGTTCAATAATGATTCACAGTAATAAGGATTAATTCTGCAGTTACTTTGTACCTAGCATTTTGCTCTACCCAGCCAGAGACTGAAATATGTATTCCATAAACACTTTGGATAAGTTACTTAATTTTCTGAGATTTAGTTTCCATTTTTGTTTATAGCTGTGTCTCCTGTGCCTCTGATATCTCCTCATACATGGTAGGTACTTGATATAGAAAGAGAGAGAGAGAAGAAAGTCATTCGAGTGATTAAATAAAATTATATAAACATAAAGGGCCTGGCATGTAATAGGTGCACAGTTAAGTTCTTATTTGACTTTGTGTCTGCCCTCATAGCACAGTGCCTAGCTTATATAATAGAAGGCACTTAATATAAGCTACTTAAATTAAATTTTCCTTGAAGGAAAAATGAATTAATTTAAGTAGCTTATATTGCAGGTGTTCATTAAACACCTGTAATATGCTAGACACTGGGAAGAGAACAGTAAAGAAAACAGATCTCTGCCCCAGTGGAACCTGGTCTTGTGGAAGATGGCAAATGAGTAAACAGATAATTACATACTATGTCTGGTGGTGATAAGTGCTATGAGGAAGATTATGGCAGAGTAAGGAGGTGGAGGTATACAAAACAAGAGTGCTAAAGGTTAGTGATATAGAATGGTCAGGGAATATCTCCTATAAGTTTGGGCAAATACCTGAAGGAAGTAAGGAGAGTGTCAGGCAAGTTTCTAGAAAGAGAGTTTCTGGGCAAAGGGAGAAGCAAATGCAGAAGAACTGAGGCAGGAAAGTATTTGGCTTGTTTAAGAAGGTCCATGGAGGTCTGTGTGTCTGTAACAGCATAAGCAGGGAGAATAGTAGAAATGAAGTCAGAGAAGTAGCAGGAAGCCAGATTATATGGAATCCTGTAAGCTGTAAGGACCTTGCCTTTTACTCTGAGATGAGAAGCCGTGGGAACAGGAGGACTTTGAGGAGTGGTGTGATCTGACGTTCAAAGGATCATCCTAGCTGCTATGTAGAGAATAAATTATAGAGTGACGAGGATGGAAGCAGGGACCGCTTACAAGGCTGTGGTATTAGTCCAGAAAGAAATATTGGTACCTTGGATTTGGTAATACTGGAGGAGGTGGTGAGAAGTGGTTGGATTGTGAGTATATTTCAGAGGTGGAGCTGACATAATATGCTGATGGATGGATATGAAAGAGAGGAGTCAAGGATATTTCCAAGGTTTTTGTACTAAGCAATTGGGAGAATGGACTTACCATTTAATGAGATGGAAAACTGCATAAGGAACAGGTTTGGTGGGAATATCAAGAGTCCTGTTTAGGACCTGCTAAATTTTAGAGGTCTGTAAAAGTCTTGAGGTCAGAAACAAATAATAGAATAGTGGTTACCAGGGGCTGTGGAGAAGATGGGGAGTTATTGTTCAATGGGTATAAAATTTCAATAATGTAAAATTATTAAGTTCAAATGATCTTCTGTACAACATTGTACGTTTAGAATGATGGTTACCAGAGGCTGGGAAGTACAGTAGGGGAGTAAAGGAAGAAGGAGGAGTGGGGATGGCTAACGGGTACAAAAATGTAGTTCAATAGAATGAATAAGATGTAGTATTTGATAGCACAACAGGGTGACATCAACAATAATTTATTGCACATTTTAAAAACAACTAAAAGAGTATAATTGGATTGTTTGTAACACAAAGAAATTGTAAATGGTAGATACCTCATTTACCCTGATGTGATTATTATTCATGGTATGCCTGTATCAAAATATCTCATATACCCCGTAAATATATAACCTACTGTGTACCCACAAAAATTTAAAAAGTTTTTTTTCTACTTCTTCTTTTTTTTTTTCTTTTTTTCCTTTGGTAGAAACAGGATCTCGCTATGTTGCCCAGGCTGGTCTCAAGCTCCTGGTATCAAGAGATCCTCCTGCATTAGTCTCCAAACTGCTGGGATTGTAGGTGTGAGCTACCATGCCTGGCCAAAAATTAAAAATTAATAAAATAAAATACAAAAAAACCCCAACAGTACTGTATGGTACACATAAAAATTTAAGGAAGTTAGAAAAAAGAAACAGAATCAAGCATGGGTCCCATCAAGAGTTAACTGAATCAGAATCTACATTTTAACAAGATCCACAGGTGTGCATTGAATGGAATACACATTCCAGAAAGTCACTAGCCTGAAAAGCACTAGTTAACAGGATGACTTCACAACACTATAATTTGCTTTATAATCAGTATGTAAGTGTAAGTAAGGTGGTGGCAGTATATTTAATATTATACTAGGTTGAATATCCTCTATATAGATCTATCATATATATAATTATCTTAAAAAATGAAAATTAGTCAATTTTAATGTAATTTCTGCCCTTATTTAAATCTGTTGATTCCCATCACTCTTTGTAAAATCCTGTCATTTCAGTGATTTAAAAAAAAAGTTTGGAGGTCAGGGAAGAAATCAGCATTGGAGATATACTTTAGGGCAGAGGTCTCCAACCCCAGGGCCTGCTCCATGGCTTTTTAGGAACTGGGCTGCACAGCAGGAGGTGACCAGCAGGTGAGCATTACTGACTCAGCTCTGCCTCCTGCCAGAGCAGCTGGAGCATTAGATTCTCATGGGAGCACAAACCCTGTTGCAAACTGTGCATGCAAGGGATCTAGGTTGCGTGCGCCTTATGAGAATCCAACTAATGCCTGATGATCTGAGATGGAACAGTTTCATCTTGAAACCCCCACCCAAGCCCCAGTCTGTGGAAAAATTGTCTTCCATGATACCAGCCCAGTCCCTGGTGCCAAAAGGTTGGGGACTGCTATTTAGGGAGTCATCAGGGTGCAGAGACTATATAAAGCCATAAAACTGGATGAGATCACAAATTGAGTGAGTAAAAATAATGAAGTTGCCTACAAACTTGAAGTTGCCTACGAATTCAACCCTTGAATATTCCAACATTAACAAAAGAGGAATAGAAAAGAGAATTGACAAAACAGCCTGAGACAAAGCAACCAATGAGATAGGAAGAGAACCAGGAAAAAGGTGTGTGGTTGGAGAAAGGGGTGAGTGAGTAAGCAAACTAACAGAAAAACTGAGCAAGTTTCATAACCCCTCTGGGGAGCAGTCTATTTGCCGTCACTTTTAATAGCAAAACCACAATTACTTTTGCACCAGCCTAATACAAAACAGGGATGAGAGTGATGTTACTAACTCCTTTGCAGGGTTACTGTGAGGATTATAAATGATGTATATATACCATCTATTACAGCAACTAATGCATAGAAAGTGCTCAAAAATTAATAGCCATTTTTATTATAAAATTAAACAGCTAGAAAACATAAGTACAGTTTTCTTAATTAAATAAAGGTTGAGTGTCCCTAATCTAGAAGTCCAGAATGTTCCAAAATCTGCAACTTTTTGAGCACTAACGTGATGCTCAAAGGAAATGGTCATTTTGGAGCATTTTTTATTTCAGATTCTAGGATTAAGGATGCTTAATCTCTAATTATATGTAACATAAATATTTCAAAATTTCCCCAAAACAGAAATCTGAAGCACTTCTGGTCCCAAGAGTTTTGGATAAGGTATACTCTACTATACTAGAAATGTTGGAGGTGCCTATACTAGAAATGTTGGAAGACTCAAGAGAAGGTAAAAATCAGTATGACTCAGGGTATTAGGGAAGTCTTCATGGAAGAAAGACCCGACTTAGACTTCAAAATGGATTTTCTTAGAGGCAAATTGAGGCATTCCAGGTGCCGAGATGAACAAAAACTCAGAAATTCATTTGATGATAGCATGATGGTACAGTGAAGAGATGTTTCTGATAAAATGAAACCTCATTACAGGCATAAAATCACTTGAGGTCTGTTTTTTGTTTAGTTTTATTTTATTTGGAAGCTAACCTTTTTTTTTTTTTTTTTTTTTTTTGCTCCTACAATACAAACCCCAGTAGACATTACAAGACTGGCCAGTTGCATTGTACCATCCTCACTCACTCTAGTAACCTCGATTGATGATGGTTTTTGCATTTGTGCCATCAGGTTTTACCACCGTTGAGGGATGTGACAAATCGACCTGAAGTTGGCTCAACTGTGAGAAATAAGCTGGTGCGCCTCATGACACATGTTGACCTTGGAGTCAAGCAAATTGCTGCTGAATTCCTTTTTGTCCTTTGCAAAGAGAGAGGTAGGTTAAACTCTCTTTGCCTCTGCCTTTTATCTTTCAGAGGGAATTTGAGAAATTTAGTTGATAGTGTTAGTCCTGGTCATCTCATTCCATTCTTTCCAGAGCTTACTGTATGTTCTATTAGACAGGCTGAGGAGTTAATAAAAATTAATAATCAAAAGCATTTTTATAAGCTTCTGAGTTCATTGAGAAATACAAAGATGGATACATTATGTTTAAACACACTCATGTTTAAACTTTGCCTTCTGTATCCCTAACCCAGCCTTCATCTTAATGGGGCAAGACTTAGAGCCATTATGAAAAGTTGCTTCAGCAATTCAGGGGCTACTATTTTAATAAGGAGGCACAGGTCTGGGTTGGTTCCTCTATTTAATTCCTCTTGGAATTAAAGCTATAGGAGTTCTGGTTTCTTTACTAAGTTTTCCAATCAGTAGTTATTGAATATGAGCTATATAATATACTGAATAGAAATTTTAAAAATGCGTAATACCCTTGAGACAAAGGTAAGATAGTGGTAGAGAGAAATTTTTAAATAACTGTACTACAGTGTAATAAATGCTACTCTGTAAGTATATGTAAAGTGATTGTCTACTAAGCTAGATCCAACAATGAAAGATATTTTCTAAAATTATACGGATTTTTTACTCTGCAAAATGAAAATTCTCTAAACAAGGAACTTTGATTATTCAGTTATTCTCACTTATTTTTTCTTCTTCTACTTGATAAATATGCTAGTATAAAATCCCATCTAAGTAGATCTGTATTCTACTTTTTTTAAACTACCCCAGTTTTGTAAGATAGATAATTGGAAGATGGAAAAGTTCACTCCTTTTAAAATCTTAAGTCAATTGTTATTCTTAAACTTCATTTCTGACATTTGATCCACTTAAGTCCACATTAAGATGGTGTGTAAATAACCTAATTTGATGATTATCATAATGGTGATTATTAATTGAGAGATATCAAGTGCTTGACATTCTATGTATAATCTCATTTAATTCTCATAATGATCCCCTAAGGTGAATATTATTATTTCAATTTCATAAATGAAGCAACCTGCCACTTTAGAGCCTTTCAGTGACATGTCACATAGTTGCTTAGGTCAAGAGCCCTATCTTTTCATTCTGCCATATTTCCTCTCATAATAATTATATTAGCTACTATTATAGACTAGCATCTGTTTTTTTTTTTAGACCATTTGCTGCTGTTTAATGACTGAAAAAAGATTGATTTAGCATCTTGGAATTAAGTGGTTAGCATAGTACCTTGCATTTAGTTACCTGAATACTGGTTAAATTGAATTGTTTTTTTGAGATCAGAAATAATCTATTTTTTAAAGTGTAATTATAAATGTATATGCATAAATAACCACACATATGTGTATCTATTCATTTTAATAGGTTTGTCAAAATATTATTTGTTGTTAACTCTGAATAATAAGAGTACTGGTGATGTTTTTTAGCGGTCTGTATAATTTTTCTATAATGAACATACATTTTTGTATACCTTTAAAAAGCTTTAAAATGGGGGAAAATATAGTTTATTCTGTAATTACATATCTAAGTGTATAAATAAATATACAAATCTAAATACATAATTACATATCTAATATATTTCTAAATATAATAACCTTACCAATGAGTGAGTGTCATAGCAGATATGGTATATTGCATTTATAAGTGAATTTTATTAACTTTTTAAGTTTGAAATGGTTGGTTTTGTTCCTCTTTGTACTCAGTATTTAGCTTCATAGTCCTAAGTTTGAGCCCAAAGCTAACTTACATTAGCAAATAATATTTTTTTAATTTGACCTCAATAATTCTGCATTATAATCATTTTTTTCCTTCCAATTTGATTATAAGTTTAGTAAATGTATTCTTCTGAAATAGGCATTCATTCAACAAATGTTTTTGAGCTAGACACTGGGATTACATAGGTATATAAGATAAACAATGTTTCTGCCCACATATTTTTTACTTTTTTATTTAAGGGTCACAGACTCAAATGCTTACAACAGCCAGGCTGGTAATAAAAGTAAGTCAAGTGGGCTAGATGTAAGATGATAAATGAAATCTGAGGCTTGGCTCATTGTTGGGGAGGCAGTTGGGGTGGAGAGACAAAGGGACTATGGGAGATTGTAAAAAGGATATTGCTACTATTTAGCTCCAACTGATTGTTACCATGAAGGAACATGTGGCCAGTATTAGCAAATGTTCCTTCCATGTTTTCAAGAGAAGCTATAACACTGGATTTTTACATAAAATGTCTGTTTTTAAATGTAGTCAACTAGTTCAAATTTAAAACCTTCTGGACAGAAAAAAAGAAATGTCTGCAGTCTATCTTCAACTTAAAAGTGATCAGATTTTGGAATTTGGGTTTGGAAGTAGACTATTAAAATAAAATTCAAATAATTTATCAGAGTGTCTCAACTGTCCTCTTAAGGATTTGCCAAGTAAGTTTGAAAGTAAAGGCACCTTGATCAGGACTCATAGGTCTCACTGAGGTTGAAGGCCCAAAAGGAAAAAAAACAAAAAATAAAAAGAGAAGACTCATAGGTCAGACAGTGTAAGTAGAAAGATAGCAAGCAGCAGTTATAATGAGTTAGGAACACAGAGACTGCATTAAGAAAGAGGTAAGAGAGAAAGGACAAAATTGTATGAAAGACTAGGCACAGAAAGAACCATTCAAGGGTCTTAAATACCCATCAGTGGCAGGCCTAACTGTATCCCCAGCACATAGTGGCCCACAGATTAATTTGTACTTGTGCCATTAACTTGTTCAGTTGAGCCTTGACATAACTATTTTTATCTCCCTGCAAATTGTGTATTTTCTACTAGGGGCCTAAAAATAGGCCTTACATTGTTTCATTAAAGGAAGATGATTTGTAAAATAATCTCCTGCCATGGTCCGGGTTCCCCCACCTTTTAACATATTCATTAATTCTCAGTATGTGGTAGACTTTGTGGTATAGGAGCTGAATTACAAAAAATTAGGCTTGAATTCCCTTAGCACATAGCCCCACACCAATAAATTTGCTGTAATACCCACTTCAGTCTCAGGAATGAGTGTCTCTTTAGCTTAAAGTTCAACAGTCTGTCTTTCCTGTTGATCATTTCTCTTACTGTGTTTGCAAAAGCCTTGTTCCATCAGTTATTACCCTTTATTCTTTTGTTCTTTGAACTTGCCCTGAGTGCTTTCCCCAGTCTGTAGGTAGATTTATATCTGTCACTGTCCTTCACTTCTTAAGATCTTGAAAAACTTAGTCCTCAGCTAGCTGCAATTCAGGCTTTCCACGACCATTCCCTCCCCCCAAATACCACGGAAAATGCTCTTAGTAAGGTCACAAATTACCTGATTTTCAAAAGCAATGAGTATTTTTTAGTCTTTGTCTTATTATGTCTCTCATAACAGTTGTGCTATTGTCCACTTTATTTGTTTCTGTACTACCACACACTCCTAGATGTCCTTTGACCTCTCTTCTTTTTTTTCAGTCTGATTTGCTAGCTCCTGTCCTTGTTCACATTTAATTGCTGTTGTTCCCTAAAGTTATCTCCTGGTCCCCATTCTCACTTCACATTGCTTCCTGAGTAATCTCATCCTCTCCCTTGGCTCCTGTTGCTGAAGAGATTCCCAAATCTATGTATCTTCAACCCCAACCTTTCTTCTGAACCCTAGTCGTATTTATCCACTTGCTTACTGAGTTTTATCCACTTTATCCACCTGAGTTTCTCACTGGTACCTCAGACTCATGTCTAAAGTTGGATTTATGATCTTTGTTCCCATGACCTTCAACCTTTTTGTTATCCTTCTATCACTTTCTCTGCAAAAAGCATTGTCTGTCTAGTTCGTAAAGCCAGAAACTTGAGGTACCCTAGATTCCTTCTTTAAGGAATTCCTTCTTAAGAAGTCATAACAAACACATCTATAGATTTTACCTCCTATTAAATATCTTTTACTTATTTCTCTCTTTCTGTTCCATACCACCATCTTAGTACAGGCCCTTAAAATTATTTTAACTATTAATAAGCTATTAAAATAGCTCATCTCTCTGTTTCTAGTCAGATTTTCTTCAGTTTGTCTTCCACATGGCTAACAGAGGGATTGTTATAAAATACAAATATAATCTTGGCATTCCCCCTATATAAAACTTTAAGCGATTCTCTGTTACCTGCATGATAAAATCCAAATATTACCTCCACAGAATTTCTGTGTAGTGTATTTTAAATCCACTCCCCTGTTAATAAATTCTTTATTCTTGCCTGATTATACTGCACCATTTCTTGGCACATCTCCATGGCTTGGCAGATGCTGTTCCTATTGTGAGGAATGCTTTTCCTCGTCTTTGTTACCTAGGCAACCTTTACTTATCCTTGAAGACCATTTAAGCGTCATCTCTGTGAAGATTTCTCTGACCATCCCAGGCAGAGTTGATCATTTTTTCCTTTGTGCCATTTTTCCTTCTCTGTTTTTAATACTTTTGACATTTGCTATGTTGTAACTCTTTATTTATTGAACTTACATTCTAGACACTGAGTTTCCTTTAGGTCAGAGATCATGTCTTACTCATCTTTGGATCCCCAGTGCTTAACAGATAGCAGGTGCCCCATAAATGTTTAATTAAAGAGCAAATGTTTGTGCTTTCTATAAATTCAGGCTGGCGAATACACTGTCCCATTTAAAGGAGTAATTTCAGTACACTGTGATAAGTGCCCTAAGAGAGAAGTGTGCCAGATACTATGGCAACCTGGAAGAGGGAATGGTTGGCCAGTGTGGGGAGGAGATCAAAGAAAGTCTTTACAGAAGAGGACAGAGAAATAGGAAATAGCCTTGAATGTACAGAAAAGAGTAAGATGTGAGGAATCTTGAGGAGAAAAAATTTGGAAAAGACGACAGAGGCCAGAAAATGGGTTCTTTAGGCCTTGTTTTGGAATTTGAGCCTAGTTTTTAGTGGAAGACACTAGAGATTTTATCCAGGAAGGTTGTAAAATCCTATTTTTGCTTTACAAAGATATTTTGGACAGTTGTATGGGATAAGAAACGGAGAAGTGTGAGACTGGAAATAAGGATAGTAAGAGGAAGCTACTAGTTGAGTCTTCTGAAAGTTATAGCATTTGACTAGAAGGAAAAGGATTTTCACAGAGAAGGGGGAAATGGTCCCTGGGTAGAATCTAGTTCTTGACATTCTTTGTTCTTGGTAAAAGAGCAAAAACTTTTTGCTTTTATTTTAGAGTCTGGTAGAACCCACATTTGTGTAACTGTCTATGTTTTTACCAGTGCAGTTCTGACTTTGCACAGTGCTGCTGTGGTTGGTTTTCTCTGTTCATAGTGCCCTCTAGCATCCTGATAAAATAGTGGTGAAATGCTTCTCGCAACTTTTCGACTAAATGCTGAATTGTTTCATTTAGGCAGCATTTTCATATAACTGTATGGATAATTACTATGCAAAGAACAAATACATTTATATGTTTCCTTTTTTTTTTTTAAAGAACCACCCAGAAAATTTTTTGTTTGCCCTAGCAGCTTACCTTAACATCCAGGTGCAGTCAGTTTTCCTTTTACTACTTTCCCAATATCAAGTAGGATATTATATGGTATATTTGAAAATAGACTTAAAAGGTAGCTAGAAACACTGCTTCAGTGCTTCTCACTGTGAGGATTTTGTATTTCATTTGTCTCACCTTCTCTACCCCCAGTTTTTGGGTATTTTATCCTGTTAACAGAAGTTCATGTGATTTTAAAACTGTTGGCTATATCCTTTATCTACTTTGAAGGCAAACTATGTCTTAAGTCATCTTTGTAACCTACACTGCCTGTCACAGAGTTAGCACATAATGTTTGTTCCAGCTAAAGAGGAGTTGACTTGATTTTCATAAAATTGCCAGGGTTTTTTACTACTAACTGGCTTCCAGAGAGATTTTCTACATAAGAGAACAGTTATTTAGTATTTTGTTTACTTCTATTTAACCCGTTTTAGCTTTTCATAACCTTTGCATTTTTAAACTCTCTTGATCTTTTGCCATTTTGTGACTTTTTAAATTATTGTTCTTTTGTCTTTAAGTATATTCATTTAAACATTGATTCATATCTCAATTTAACGTTTCCTAATTGTAATGAATATTTCTTTTCTGGATCCACTAAACCATCTCGTTTGTTAAAAATAAGCTTTATCAGTAATGCTTACAATGATAGTATCACCTACTGTCTGTAAGGTACTTTGTGTGGGTTTAGATCTGTGATCTTTTGCCTTCAGTGGCTTTGTGTCTGACAATGTCATTAAGAAAATGTCTGACCTTCATGAATGTTAATACCTGTACACACTGAACACTCATTCCTTCTGCTAGTACTTGTTAAGGATTCTTTCTTTTATCTAAAGCACTAGCACTGATGGCAAGAGGGAGCGTATCAGATTTATTCAGCAGGCTTACCCCACCCTCATTCAGTAATTCTAATAGGATTCTATCCAGCATCCACTGAGAATTATTGCAGAGAGACCACAGTTACCAATAGGTTTTAAGACTGAAAATGGCTAGTTTCAGCATCATTTAATGTGCTCATATTATTAGCCCATGTTTCTTTTAGCACAAATTTCACCAGTTTGCTATATTCTTTGAAATCAGGGCTTCCTTTTATTTATCCCCATACTACCTATTTTTAGTGTCATGAGAGGGACCCTCTAGTTCAGGTATTTGAAAATGTAACTGTCAACTCTATCCTAGAATATATTTATCCTGTCCATGTCCTCCATGATTTTATACTCTGATCATATATACCCAGTTTTCTTACCTATTTTCCTTTCTACCAACCCTTTCAGTTCCCTAAAGCCTTTTTAATTGCCTTTTTCTGAATCTTCTCCAGCTCTGTTTTGTCTTTTTTGAGGTAAGTGATCTGAATTACAGATGTAGATTTTAATATGGCTTTATACATGGGTATGATTGTGTGTTATGTTTCCTACAGTTGCCTTTTAGATGACATTTTATCAACATTCTGTTAAAAGCCTTAAGTAAATTTTCCCAATTCTTAACTTTTGATTGAATATTCTAATGTTTACCTTGAAATAGTACCTGAAGAAAATGAAATACTGCTAAACAAAGCTGCCAGTTCTTGCTGAGTATCTTCCTTAAAGATGTTTAGAAATTACCCTTGCAAAAGTTGTGTGTGTTGGCTGATCTTAGAGAGACGTCACTTCTTCCTGTTGGCAGGATAATACTTACAGAGAACCTCAACCAAACTTTCATTAAGCTGCTTCTTTTTTCTTTTCTTTAAACTAAGATAATTCTAAAATCATTTTGCCCACTCTTCTCAGAGAAAAAGAATGAATGTTTACGTTGTGGCAGATACTTTTCATACTTTGCATATATTAACTTGTGAGGTAGATAGTTACTATTCTATTTCTACAGATTAGAAAACTAGGATAAAGCTGCAAAATATCTTACCCAAGTCAGCCAGCTAGTAATTGATAGAGCCATTATTGAAATCCTACCAGTTTAACTCCTCTGTCTACCTTCTTAATGGGCTTCACATGCTTATATATTTTTGCTGACTTTTTATTTAAAAAAAGCAGCAAGTTATTGCCTATTCTATTTGCTAATATCCTTCCTTAAGTTTTCTTATTTCTTATGCCCTTTTCTTCCAGTTCCAACAAAGAATGAGAGAAATACTTTACATTATGTGCCATATTGCTAAAATCACAATCTGACTTTCACTCTCTCTAGTTTCTTATTATTTCTCCAAAACTGGATTTTCAAATAGTAAGATCTGAAATCAGAAACTTAAAGCATGACACTTACCAAAGGCCTGGCAGTCACAGAGGCCCCACTCTTGCCATAAAGGGTGTTCAGAACAGCTCTGTTTTAGTTTCTGATACCTCAAAAAAGGCTCTTAGTCTCCAGAGCCTATGGGAAAATTTCTAAGTAGTTCAGTGTAACCACTACCACATTTTGATGATCTCTCAATTTAAAGGTTTGCTGCCATAGTGTATGTATTTAACCTTCCTGTGTTGGTGAGTGATTGGTGATGATGATTAAGACCCAAGGATTCCTATCTAAAACCCTATTCTGTTTTTGCAGTGGATAGTCTGCTGAAATATACTGGCTATGGGAATGCTGCAGGACTGTTGGCGGCCAGGGGCCTCTTGGCTGGAGGAAGAGGAGATAATTGGTACTCAGAGGATGAGGACACAGACACTGAAGAATACAAAAATGCAAAACCAAAGTATAGTATCAATTTTCTTTTCACCTAACTATGGCTCTGCCTTTGAGTTGGTTATTTGCCTTTCACTTCCTTTGTCTTTCATTTTCCAAGTGTTTCTTTTCTCTTGTGGATTTGGAAGCTTTCCATTTAATGGTGTTTTTAGAGGCAGTTTCATAGCTAGTGCCTTAGTGAGTGACTTCAAGTGATTGAAGAAGGCTAATAATGCAAGAAATGTTCTGCTGCATGATATTTTCAACATGCTTATTCTCTTTTCCTAAGTACTAAGAGAGCTGGTGTTTAGGTTGTAGTGAAAAGGTGTTATTGCTTACTATTTGCTTTCCTTTCCATAGGTTGAGATTTTTTAAGGTATAACCAAGACCACATATTTAAGTTAATTATTTGATGCTTCAGTATTTCTCAGACATCTAGATATAGGATCTGATCTTCTCCCTTGCATAAAAGCCTTTATAAGTCAATAAAATTGTGCAACAAGACACATTAATATAAAAAGAAAAGAAGTCTGGCTTCACAGTGAATTTTAATCAAACAAACATATAGAGAATCATCTTACAACAGATACATTGGTGCACTGAGTAGGCAAACCAGAGACTCTATGAAGTCTTCTCTGAGTCAGTGCTTACAAATTAAGGACATTATAATTATTCTCTTTTATCCCAAGATAAGCCGCCTCTTCTTCCTTCTGTTCCCTCTCCATCCTTTCCATCCCACTCGTAACCCTCAACCTGTGTGAACTCTTAGTTTCCGCTTATTAGGAGTTATTTGAGCTGCGTTTTTTCTGAGTTCCATTTGAAGATTTCCATCTGAAAATTGGAAAGGCTTGCCCTTTCCTTTTGGCATGGTGACATTGACATGCTGTGCTTTCTGCTGGCCGTCTTCTAGAGTGTGATGTGGATTATGCAGTAGTTGATCGAGGATAGACAATATTTATCTGCAAAATTTGATCATTTTAAAAAACATATATTGTGCCTTGTTGACATGAAAGTAATGGGTTGTCAGAAGGTGAAAGAAATGATCAGTCCCCAATTAGACAGGACATACATGGCCTGTTTCTTGGCAAATCAGGTCTGAGTAGGTAGTGTTACTTTTAGCATCCCCAATGCCATCAGCCTCAGCAGGATCTTATACAGCATCTCCTAGAAATAAAGGCTTTTGGGGGAAAAAGCTGGCAATGACTCTAAGCACTATTTTCTTAAGACTGCCACCATTTAGACATTATCAATTGGTTATCTCTGACAAGTATTTGAAGCTAAATTAGAGAAATTGTGCTCCTTTCTTTATCTAATTATAGAAGTCATCATTCTGAATTAGCCTTACTAGCTTTTTTCATTCTACAAACTATATTATCAGTTTAATATTGATCTCTTGATCTGAGCTATTAAAATATACCACTTGAGAAATCTCATATTTCTAAATGAAAGTCGAAATTATATGAGACATTTCTTATATCCCAGGGTGTGTGGACACATTCAGCTATGACAGAAAACCCATGAGTACTCATGGATGGTTGATATCTTTGCATCTCAATGCATATTGTTAATTTTGTTTAGTATTGTCATATATATACCAAGCACAAGAATGCTACTATAATAAGAGGAAAATAGAATTGTGTTACACTGTGGAAATGATGTTAGATTTCAGAAAGTATCTTTTGTTGAAATGAACAGCCATGATTAGTATTGTTACTGTCTTGGCTTTTTGTCATAGAAAGTTTCTGTACTTAAGCCTTACATCGCTAATTACAATCTTCAGCTTTTGGACTTTGCTTATAATAGTCATAGGAATTGTGTGTTTGTGTATTCAGAATAGTCACCATTGTGAAATTTTGTTGTATTTTTTAAACATTGCTCATTATAAGTATAAATGTGTTTTTTTCAAGTAGCGTCACATCGTCTCCCTTCAGATAGATTTGCATCTGTCTTTCTCTTAAATTTTCCTTCTTTAAAGTGAAAGAGTATGGTGAGATATTTAATGTTACTTTAAAATATTTGTTCAAATGATTCCCATGGAAGTGGTGGCAAACAAAGTACTTTGCAAGCAGGAGTACCCTTTGTACTCTGCAGAGTGATCCACAGAACTCAAAGAACTTGTTTCCTAAAAATTGTAAAAAATTTTTTACCAATCAAGCTTATAAAGTTAGCATCTGAAAGGATTATTTACTCCCTTACCCCTGATTACCATTCACCAGTCAGAGTTCCCAAGATCTCAGTCTGCTTTTCTCGTGATGCGTTTATTCACAACGGTTGCTACTATTGGCAGAAGCAGAGAACTTACTCTTCATCCAGTTGGCCCTAGTCCAATTGTCAAAACTTTAAGTGGATTCTGATTAATGCACCAAGGTAACCTGTAATCCTTTACTGGAATCTGAAACCAAGAATTGTATGGAGCTTACATTCAGGCTATGGGAGACAGTTAATATCACAACAAAGCTTTTTGTGTCAAAATAAATGTATTTAATGGACTGGAAATGGCTTTCTGCAATTAGCACACTTAGAGAAAATACACTCATAGAATTGAGTTACATGCCACATAAATTTTTGCTGTATGTATAGCCAGTTTTGTTGAAAGTTTTCATATAAACTTTGGTCCGGTATCAAAGGGAAACCAAATTCTTAAATTCTAACTTTTATACCTGTTTCTCTTATGCCTCTGAGAATGGAGGTCCCTTGACTATAAAGGTGATATAACTGGATGGTACGGTTTGTACATTATTCTAGATATCAGTTGAAAGATGTGTGTCTAATGACATTTGGCTCCTTTTAGACGAGTGGCTTTCACAGGGTGCACAGGCATCTAGAGGCCTAAAGAGGTGTCTTTAAAAAACTGCTTTGTGGATAGGAGGAACAGATGGCCAAAAGTGAGCAAAACCCTAGGGAACCTCCTTGTATACTTAACACACCACACTAGTTCATAATCAGTTCCAGAAGCTTAAAATCATTATACTGATGAACTTGGGTGTTTCCTCTACTTGACCACATTTTTCTCAGCTGTAGCTGTGCCACCAGCTGTACAAACAGTTTCTTCAGCACAAGGCAAGATACATTTTGTTTGTCAAGATTTTGCTATCTGCTTCAGTCAAGTCTTTTTATAGTTGTCTCATTATATTGGGCTTTATAAATTTGTTTTTAATATTAAATATTTCTTGAAGTAGGTGACTCAGAAACCAGGACATGAAGATTTTTCTCTTTGCCCAGTTTGGGCTGTGATGATGTATTTATGTAAAACAGCATTTCCAGGAACTAGAACCTATTACTGGAAGCAGTCATAAAACACATCTAAATTCAGAGTTCTAAAAGACCAGAGGTGAAAGAGGCCTAGTATATTAGCTTAACTACAGTACTGAGCTTTGCTCCAGTGTTTATTTGCTATAGTTTCATAATCGTCAGTTTTCTGTATCCTTTATGTCAAGGTTATTACTCTTAAACAGCCTGACATGGGAAACATTTGAAAAACAGTATAATTTAAAAAGGCATTTTGAAGCCTTTTTTGTTTTATTGCCTAGATGCAATTTGGTATACCTGTATATATATATTTATGTTGGCTAATACATGGTAGATACATAGTAAATATCAGATAAGTAAATGAAAGAATGGCACCATGTTACACTAGTTCTGTCCATTGCCAATGTAATGCGAAAACCTGAATTAGGATGTAGTTTCATAATTTATGCTACTTCTTTTATGGAGAATCAGTGTGTCATTTATACAATAATTCTCAATGAAGGTTACATATGCATCTTCATAGTAAGGATTTGACTGAATAGAGTAACTTACCCCCTGGATCATCTGAGGCCTTCTGTGTTGCCTGTTTCTCTGCAAGTGGTTCCCTAACTCCAGTAACGATAGCTAGTATTTACTGAGTGCTTAATATGTGCCAGGCACTTTTCTAAGAACTTGACAAATACTGTCTAATATAACCTTCACAACAACTCTTTGAGGTAGAATTAATCTCATTTTACAGATGAGAAAACTAAATGCAGTTAATCAAGTAATTTGTCCAGAGCAAACAATTCCTAAGTGGTCAGGTGGCCTGACTCTAGAGGTTGTGGTTTTTGGGAATTTTGTTGTTTTTTGAGGCAGGAAAAGCAAGTTTTATTGTGCCCTTCACTCTGCCTTTTTACTTTGGGGATAAAATATGTAACATCAAATTTACCATTTTAGTCAGTTTTAAGTGAATAAATTTGTAGCATTAAGTACACTTACACTGTTGCGCAACCATCACCACTATCTCACCTCAGAACTTTTTCCTTGTCCCCAGTGAAACTGTACCCATTCTCCTCCTTCTAGCTCCTGGTAACCACCATTTTACTTTCTGTCTCTATGGAATCTAAGACTCTCTATAAGTCGAATCATAGACAATATTTCTCCTTTTGTGACTGGCTAGTGTCACTTAGAATAATGTCTTTAAGATTCATGTTGTGGCACATGTCAAAGTTTCCTTTTTTAAGGCTGAATAATATTCCATTGTGTGTATATACATTACATATATACCTTTTGGTTGTTGTGAATAATGCTGCTGAACATGTGTGTACCAATATCTGTCAAGTCCCTACTTTCAGTTCTCTTGCGTATATGCCCAGAAGTGCAGTATCACGTGGTGGATAGTTCTTGGGTTTAATTTTGTTGCCAAACGGCCATAACATTTTACATATCAGCTGCACCATTTTATATCCCCACCTGCAGTGTACAGGGATTCCCTTTTCTCCACATCCTCACAACATTTATTTTCTGGGGTTGTCTTTGTGATTTTTAATAATAGCCATCCTAATGGATGTGAAGTCAGAGCTTATTTTAACTTCAACTATATTCTGTTTCAAAGCCAATCAGAGAGAGAAATGAGTTTGCCCCTCAGATAGCTTCCATGTTCTCAGAGCATTTATTATCTTTCTTTGATATAACCAAATCAGAAAATGAAGAAAATGTATCTGTATACCCCCGATATCCTTGAAAACACAAAAATCCATTTGATTCATTCTAAATTGGTAAATATTCACATACATCTGA